GCGACGCGCTCGCCCATGCAGCCTGCACCAACCGCCGCTGCCTCCCTCGCTCCCCGCCCGTCGCTCCCCCCCCAGCCCCCCCACGAGCCCCGACACCATCCTCAACATTATACTCACGGCGATATACATCGCCGACATCCTGCTGAACTTCATGGTGAGATATAATAACTGTGGAGATCATGCGCAGCATGTGCACCCCTCTCCTCTTGTGGAATTCAGATTAGCCAGCAAACCCGCTCGTTCCTTTCCTTCCCGCATCAACCTCCCTCTGTCCTCCTCGGGAATTGGCCACACAAAAAACTCACTCGCTGTCACATGCTTCACGACGACGGCGGACGAGCCCGCAAAAAGAACTGCACAGACGTCGCCCGCCGCAAGGCCCCACGGGCAAAATGCGTCATCAACCCCCGCAGGTGGCGTTCCACGACGACGAGGGTCACCTGGTGATTGACGCGAAGACCATCGCGGCGCACTACCTGCAGTGGCGCTTCTGGGTGGACCTGCTGACCACCGTGCCCTTTGACTGGTGAGACACACCACGGCACAGCATGGGTCGCCTCGATTGCCCTCCACAGCAATAACGGTTCCTGCAACCGCCATCCAGCCGCTTGGTGGACCAGCCCGCGTGAACCCCAGTGCACGCCGCACGCGGGGCCACCCAGCGGCTCTGCGTCACGCTTCTTGTGGATCGAACTTGCTGTGCTTGCTGTGCTTGGTCTCCCTCGATGGCAAACAGGGCCCTGCACTGCTGTTTTTGACTGCATGCCCCGTAATGCCGACCGACTGCGGGTGCTGTAGTCTGCTGCGCAATCGCACCTTTTCATAAAATCGCATGAACAAACACGAATGCAACCACAGGATCGTGCTGGGCGCTATGGGCCTCCAGTACTCATCCACAGTGGAGGCGCGGTACGTCGCGCTGCTGCGCCTGCTGCGGCTGGGCCGCGCGTACCGCCTGAAGAAGGTGCGCGGTCAGCCTGCGCTTTGCATCGGCATTGGTGCGCGCTGGCACACCAGCGCGCGCGTGTGCGAAGGGGCATGGGTGGCAATCGGGGGGCTGCGCTGTTGAATCAATTTGCATGCGTGTATTGACGTGTTTGTGTGCGCGCGCGTGTGTGCACGTCTGTATGTGCATGCACACGTGCGCGTGCGCATGCTGTCGGGTGAGGGGGCGTAGAGACCAGGGGTGATCAGAGGCGCCTCATCAGGAGACCCACACATGGGTCTGGTGGGAGGTGCACAAGGCCGCGTAAAGCTGCGTGTCGCTGCTAGACGCAACCTCGGAGCGCACCTCGCCCTTGCCCCGTCCGCCCTGCCACCATCTCCTGCTACCACAGTCACCATATCTCTGCAACTGAAA